GCGTTACGTTCATTCATCTACTGCCAAATGAATCACATCCTCTCTCTTGCTGAGGCTGCTGATGCTGCTGTTGCTGCTGCTACTGCTGCAAGAGCAAAACGAAAGCTCACGTGTTTCCTAGTCGGCAAAAACCTGCTCGGCCTCGGGCGCCTCTCTCTCTCTCTCTCTCTCTCTCTCTCTCTCACAGCCGATACCACCTGTGGCTTATTATACCTGCGTGCGCCTGCTTGTCTTGATCCTGCGCGTGCTGCTTTGTCCTCCTCCGTACTGCTCGCTGGCGTTGCTACCGGCCGGTTTTATCGTGTAAATTGCAGGCTTACGGACGATGAGGGAACCGATGTGAAATTTGTAAGAGAATCAATTTGGTTTGTGCCGCCTACAAGCTACACAACGCTCGTTCACGAAAGAATTGGCGCTCTTTATTTCATTCGGCCGCTTCTCCCTTCTCGAGCATCGGCGGCGATCCTACGAGAGAGGGAGAGAGAGAGAGAGAGAGAGAGAGACGGACGGTCGGACAGACTCGACGAGTGGGTAATGAGGCCCCGGGCGCAAGTCAGCCGTAACTTGAGTGCGATATACACCTATACTCGAGTCGGCGGCGCGACTAGTTTCGCAATAGAGCGCGCATCGTTAGCACACACGCGCCTTCGACTCTCCAACTCTCTACTTACAAACTTTGGGTGCGCAACGTCACGTCTCGGCTCGTTCATTCACATAAGCAGAAACCGCTCTCCTTATCTCGTCTCTCTCTCTTTCTCTCTCCGTCCATCCATTCTCTCTCTCGGCAGTCTCCCCTCCTCGACCCGCGCTGAACCGCTCGGCTCGGCCCCGCGCGCGCGAGCGGCGCGTGTGCTTCTGTCTCTCTCGCACTCACCTGCGGGCCTCTCCGCGAGCCGCCTGCGACGCGCGCGTGCTTCGCCGAGTGACAGTAGGCACCAGGTACCAAGTGCAAGTGCGTGGTGTGCTGGTGCGCGTTCGTCGATGGAAATGCGCCGCCGCTGGCGCGCCCGGCCGCCGTCTGCTTCGAGCGCGAGGCGCGGCCCAGCGGCTCGCGCGGCCTAGCGCAACAAAGCCCGTCACAGGCGCTGACGCACGGCGCGCGCGATTGATGCATGAGCGCCAGCCGACCGCGGACTACCCCCTCGCCGTCACTCATGTACGTGGATCTGGGCGACGGAGCCCACTACCAATATCACCACATGGGCTTTCAAGCCAAGGCCATGAAGCCCTTCGCCAGGCCGAGGCCCACCATTGGTAATTCCCGCGAACGGCCGCAAAAAACTCGTCCCGAAGCTATAATAAGCTCATAAATAGTCGAATAGTGGAGGTAGGGGCATCGCTGTTGTTTTTTGCGCGCAGGTGTGTTCGCGCGCGGTCGCTCGGGCCGCCGGGCCCGCTGACATCTGGCGGACGATCGCGCACTCTCCGCCTGGCCAGCGCTTCCGACTCATATCGCGAGTGCCCAGCTTCTCGTCGCGACTTTTTGCGCGGACGGCGATCGCCGATGTATCGCCCGTCGGACTGGTCGCCCGTTATTGCGCGCGCGCCGCTCACAGACCATCAAGCGACGACCAGTCGGAGCGCAATCAACCAATAATAGTCCTCAATTTACGTACGCGCCCGTAATGCAAGGATAAAAGAAACTTTCCAGCTCGCCCGCACGCGGCACCCGCGTTGCGACAATGAGAGCAGAGCCGGCGCTGCTATCCCGAAAACGTCGAGGGGAGCCCGTCTTCGAGCCGCAGCTCGTGCGGTTAAAAAGAGACGATTGTCCACTCGTTACGTACGATAAAAGTGTCGGTTCGGCCGAAATCTTTGTATCGCGTCGTTATCCGCTTAACAGCGCCACTTGTACGAGTACAATGGTGCGTGCGGAGAAGAATGCATCTGCCGCCGCCGCCGCTGTTGCTGTTGCTGCTGCTGCTGCTGGCCAGTCACTCGATTCCAGGAACGAGGAGGAGGCGAAAAGTACGCCTATTCGCTCTGCGAGGCAGAGGCAGAGACATTTCTCTGAACTTCCGCTGTTGCCGCGAGATTCAACGGTTCGCCGGGTTATCAGTAGTGCCTTTTGGAGAACGCGTGTTTCATGCTGATATCGAGCAAAAGCCAGCCTCTGCGGCTTTGTGTTTTTATACCCCGATAACGTTGCCCCGCGACGTACTTTCCTCGCTCCCCTTCTCTCTCTCTCTCTCTCTCTCTCTCTCTCTCTCTCTCTCTCTCTCTCGCTCGTTCACGGTTCTTCAAAGCTTTTCTTCTCGGTCGCGTAAATCGCCGACTTAACAACGTAACATCTCAATTATAAATTCACTGGCCGCCATACTTTCTGCCCATAGAAGTCAACGCACCTCGCAATCCTTGAGGCGGCGTTCTTTCCCCTCGATTTGCGCGCTTAGTATGTGCATCGCGGCGTCGATCTGCGATAAAAGCTATACCGCCACCGTTCGCATGCTCGCGCGACGCGTAGCTATCTGCGCCGCGACGTGTACGAGGAAAGAAAAAAAACGAGGAACGCGCGTCGCGTTCGGTCGAAACTCGGCGCGCGGACGAGCCCGCGAGCTCGAGCGCTTCGTTAGTGCCTACTCGTCCAAACGCGCAGTATTAACATTTTTTTTCTTCGCTCTTTTGGCTGCTTTGGCGCGCGCATTCCTCGTGCTGCTCCTGCCTCTGCGCTCGACCGCGTTTTATTCGCGCGCGAGACAAAGAGGCGAGAGCCGCGTCAGGCGAAAATTGTGCGTCATTAAAAAGATTGAGGCGAATTAAGCGCGCCAATTGCTGGAAAACTTGCGCGCAAGGCCAAAAAACGCCGCGCGCCTTTATCAAAACAAATCCCTCGCGCCGCCGCGGTTTGCTCGCGCATCGCGCGCCTCGCGTACACAGCGGGAATGGAAGAGGGCAGCAAACCAAGTCGGCCGACAGGTGCAGCGCGTGCGCGTACGCCAACTCTGTCCCTTCGCGTAGTACGTTGGACTGGCGACGCCTTCCATATGCCGAATGTAATGCCGCGGGAGCGCGTTTTAATAATCCGACTGACCGCAATTACGGCAAGTCGCTCGGTCGGTCGCCCACCTCTGGAACGTAGGTGTGAAGTATAGCCGCGCGTACCGGCGAACAGTCCGAAGGCTCGAAATTACGGGTTGTCGCGAGCGATCAATCGTCGCGATTAATGCTCCGAAATGGGCAGCGCTCAACAGGTGCAATGACAGCGCCGCAACAGGTACACGACCGATCGAGGCGAAAGGGGTGCGCTTTGTTGCCCACGCACGTGCAACGCTCGCGTTGATTAGCGCTCGGGACAGGCCGTCGGCGGATCCCTACAGGCCTCCATGAATATCGCGCCTGCCCGAGCAGCGAGGAGCGAGCAGCGGGCACCGGCGCGAAGGCTCTATTTTCAACGACTCGTTGCGCCGCTCGCGCACGTGCGCTTCGACGGCGTAGTCCGTTGAGCGGGCCCGCGACGCCCCCCTCGTAAACGTATCGCGCGCAGAGCGCTTGCACGACACGCCCGTAATTTTCCTCGGCGAGCCGTTTTCGTCGGCAGCGCCCGCCGATCGCCGGCGATCGCCGGCGATCGCCGATGGAAATTTATGCGCGGCGCGGGTTAGGTATCGCGCGCTGGCCGTCTGACCCCTGCGCCGCTTGCACGACCATTTGCATCGGTCGGCGGTATGCTGTTGGACTGGCGCGGCCGGCCGATCGACGGCTCTCGTCGATGCACTCGTCGTCGCTGCGCGTTCGAGACGCAAGCCCAATTTCCCAACTGACCGCGACTCCGCGTCGTCTGCTCGGCCTCGCCGTTGAAAACGCCCGGCGCAAAAGGAGAGGCGACTTTTATTTTTCTCCGTTTTTTTCGCGTTCTTTGTACGTTTTTCCCAAGGCTCTCGTCGAAGCCTCCATTGTTTTTCTATTCAAATTTCGCCGGTTTCTCACACGCGCCGCTGATGCCCAGCGGCACCAGCAGCGCCACCACGAGACGTTAAATTGGCCAATAATGTCGAGTCCCGGGGCTTTGTTCTCTGGACGATTTATCAAACGAGCGATAATTAAGCACGATGTCGAGCTGCGAGCGACGAGCGAGACGATAAGCCACGTACTCGTATCAGTGCGCGCACGAGAGTTGGTCATTGTTGGGTTTGGAAGTTGGTAATAGGCTGTTATATACGCTCGTCCGACATTTACATTCAATGGAAATGTCGAGCGCGACGTTATTCTTAGCTGCACGCGGAATATTGATCGGGCTTGGCCCGAATTAAGCGGCAATTAGAGCGCTCGGCTGTCTTCCTCTCCGATGCTCGGCGAGAGGGATGAAGGCGGCAAGGTCGGTTGACACAGCTCTGGACGCTCGCGCGGAGGCGTACCGAGGCATGACGAGGAGAGCTGCTCCGAGCCACTTGCGCACGCGATGCACCTGCGATCGTTCTCTCTCTCTCTCTCTCTCTCTCTCTCTCTCTCTCTCCTATTTGCGCGATGCTATCGCCGAGCGCGCTATAGAGAGTCGGCGAGCTCGTGCCCGCGTGCGCGTGTGTGGGGGGACAGCCAGCGCGAGAGAGCTGCTACTGCTGCTAGGCGCATTATATATGGCAGCCGCCCCTGCACCTGACGTGCCTGCTATGCTGTCCGAAGCGAGCGCCGTGTGAGAATCGCCATTAAGCCGGCTTCTCACACACGCGCGCGGCGCGCTCGTACGCACCTTGCAACCCCTTGAACCTTGCGCTCGCTCGCTCGCTCGCTCGCTGGCTGGCTGGCTCGGCCGCTCGCCGGTCGCGCTTCGTCGCCGCTCGCGCGTCCAAAGTGCCCAGCGGGACAAAGACCTGCTCGCGCGATGAGACCTAGCCCAGGCCGTGGATTACACGAGCCGATATACTCGCGCGCGCTCGCCTCCCGATCGGTTCTGCGTACGCCTCGGAGGCCCGGCGAGCCTCCGTCGCCGCTCGCCGCGGAAGGCAACGCGAGTGGCCCGTGCGAGAGTATGCTAATGGCGACGCCTCTTGGCTCTGTTGTAGATGTCCCGACGCAAGTGCCGCCGCTCACGCCCGGGACCAACAAGAAGATGACCGAGGCCTTGAAGGCCTCCTTCGCATCGTGGGAAAAGGAGCAGATTCGCCTCAACATAACCAAAGGTCAGTGCGGACAATGCAGCTCGCGCATAAAAGCGGCAGCCGCCGCGGGCCATTACAATTGCTCTCCTCCCGCGCCTTTTCACTTGGCCTCCCTCCCCCCTCGCCCTCCTCTCTGAGCGCGCGCTCGCCGCCCCGGTCCTCGCTCGTCAAACGCCTCCAGGAATGTCCGCGGCGCGCAGCCAAAGTTCACGCGGAGGTCAACGGCGCGCGGGAACAGCGCGGAGATCCGCGAGCAAGCCAAGCGGAAGTATCGTCACAGCCGCGTGGCTCTGAATGCGCATACCGGAAGTATAGGCCGATCGGCTCTCTCGCTCGGTCCCTCGCGCGATGCCTACCGATTAGACGGCATGCGACCGAGCCGCGACGCGACAAGTGCACCAGATTGTTTATCTCTCGTACCTGCCCGCGTGGCGGCGCGCGGACCGGGGCCCGGGGCAAACAGGAGAAAAGGAGGCCCGGACAAAAGCCTCTGTTGGCAGAGAGCCAACAAGAATCAAGCCTTGGCAAACAGGGCGACCAAATATCGGCGGCGAAGCTTTGATCATCATCGTTTCCGCGCCATTAGAAGAGCAGCCTACGCGTACGTGCATTCGCGCCTCGGCTCGCTCGGATGGGCTGTTTGCTTTTTACCTCGCCTCGACCTTCACTCGTGTCTTTCCTCTTCTCTCTCTCTCTCTCTCTCTCTCTCCGCTCTCCTTCTCATTTTTCGGCACACACTCGAGTGCTCGTTAGCGTAGCCAATGATCGTTGCACGATTTCAACTAACTGCGATAAGAACGATGATGCTTTTGCAGATCCCCGACAGTGGTCGGAATCGGCGGTAGCAAACTGGCTGCAATGGGCCATCCGCGAGTTCTCGCTCGAGGGGGTGGCCATGCAGCCTTGGCAGCACATGAGCGGCAAGCAGATCTGCGCCATGGGCAAGGAGTCGTTCCTCGCCAGGGCACCGGTCTTCATGGGCGACATTCTCTGGGAGCATCTCGAGATTCTTCAAAAGGGTAAGAGGATAATTGTCGAAACTGTCGCCTAACATATATAACTCGAATAATCGCCGACGCGCGCGCGCAACAATACAATTACACAGCGGCGCACGGAGGCGAACATTAAAACAAATGAAAAAGAAACCGCGCGTCACGCTACGAGTTATGCTCGCTCGGAACTGGCGAGTTTTCATCGAAATTGCCTCGGCGCGTACAGCGCGGCCACGGCTTTTCGAGCATTTTCCAAGGACCGCGGCACATCGACGTCGCGCTCGCGCGCCCGCGAGACACACTCAACGTACGTTTACCATCCAAACAAAGAAAATCGTAACAAAGACAGGCTAAACACGGCTATATAGGCCGCTATGCAAATCGCTTCTAAAAGTAGAATCTCGTTTCGAGCGTGCAAGAAGGAGCGAGAGAAAAAAAATGAGAACCGTTTAGCGTTTCCGTATCAGCGAGCTCGAGTCGCGGAACAAGTGAAACGAGAAGAAGACGAGGAAAAAAGAGCCAGTATTGGCGTAAGAGAGGAAGCTCGTGCCCGAGGCAAAGAGAAAGAGAGAGAGAGAGAGAGGGGCAGAGAGGAAAGCAGCGGAAAAAGAAGAAGAGCGACCCGCTGAGGTGATGTGACTCGCTGAAAATAGATCAGATTTCCGTAAAAATCGCAACAGGTAGTAGCGATGATCGCACACAATGAGCCCCCAAAGGAGCCCATACAAATCAGTCGTCCGGAAGCGCGCACTTACGCAAACTTATGGCCCTTTTTCTCCTCGTCCCTCATTTCCCTGTTGACACGAGTATATGCTGCGCTCTTTCAGCCTCTGTTCACGGAATATTTGACAGCTCAATTGATCGGAGCGCTGCACGAGCGGCGACGGCGGCGCCGGCGACACGCGCGCGTAACTGTGCTTTCCATTCTCCACCAGCGATTTTTCAGGCTGCGCCGAGTTTGCGCAAAGGGCCGACCGGCTGAAAAGCGGGAAAACGAAGCGGGCGCCCACGGATCTCTGTTGCACGCGCCAGAGGACGCCCGTCCGATTCCTCGGCACGGCCTCGCCTCCGATTGCCGTTACGCGCGTGTACGTGCAGATTTGGATCTCTTTGTTGTTCACAGCGACGCTGCACCACACGCGAAACGGCTCTTATCTCGAGCGATGGATTCGTCAGCTTGCGGCTGCTGCTGCTGCTGCTGCTGCTGCTGCTGCTGCTACGCGCTGATAAAAATTAAGACCGAGCGAGCGTACGCACGCGCGCCACTTTTCAGCGCAGATATCGCGCTGTACCTCTTCCGCTCGCTCGCCTTGCTTCGCTTTCTTTTTCCTATCGACGTCCCGTGGAGACCCAATCGTACGGCTTGGACCAGTCGGTCGCGTCTCGGTCTGAATTTCACGCAAGGCTCGCTCTTGTCTTACAGAGGTGGACGCCGAAAAGGCGTCGCTGGAGAACATGCCGGCGAACCTGTACGAGAGCGTGTGCATGCCGGACTTGGGAGAGTTCCTGGGTTACAACCAGGCGAACGCGGCTGCGGCGGGCACGAGCGGCGGCGGCGGCGGCGGCGGCGGCGGCGGCGGCGGCAGCAGCGCGTCGTCCTCCAGTGCCGTGGCCACCGTGCCCGACAGCAGCCAGGGCAAGAGTCCAGCCACGAGCTCCAGCAGCTCGCCCTCGGCCACCAATCAGCCGCCCCCCGGCCCTATCGCCACTCCGTCGCCCGTCGCTGTGTCTTTGCCGCCGAGACCCTATCACAACGAAGGTAAGCCGCACTCGCGTCGACGTCACCTAGCTCCATTGCGCAACGACCATCATTATTTCGCCCGCTCAACTATTGTAATTTTTATTGTGGCCATATAAATCATTTCACAATGGGCACAAGTAATGTTCATAATTTTAACACATGCCGTCGTAAAAGGAAAAAAACGATGGCGCAATTGCCACGATTACTCCATCGAGAATTTTCACCCAAAACATTCGACCCGCTGCAAGGCTGCTCTTTCGGAACATCAAAAATATCGATAAAAGTTGTGCTTGGCGGTACAGGATGAACGAAAGAGAGTGGCGGCGAAGGACGAGGCAACCAGGGGAGGGGGCATTTCGTGACAAAACTGCAGTCCGTGTTTCCCCGATTGTAATGCAAACGAAAGCCGCCTCTGACTGCAGGTTGTGCGGCGGTGGTTTCTCATTGTTACGTCAAGCGCAAGAGAGACTCTCGTTCTCGATAGCATCTATTCCGTGAGCGAAGTGCAGCGCCGCGCGTCGCCTCGCGTTGCGACTCCATACTCGCAGCGCGCGGGCATATATCTCTTTGAAGCGCGCGAGCAGGCAACGCCAGAGTTGCGTTAACGTTAGCCGCTCAGCCCGCTCATTATCGGCCGCTCGTAAGTTTCGGTTTTCACGAGAATACAATTCGACTGGCGCGCGCGGCCATTCCGGAATTTCAATTAATTATTCAGAAGGGAACCCAATCGATGACCGAACCTCTCTCTCGTTTTACTTTCTTTTCTTTGTTTTTCTTTTTTAATGCCGCTTATCGTATGCGATAGATCTCTGTTCTTGCGTGCATGAATGATTCATTAGCGAGGGGGGCTGTTGCACTCGTTGCACTACTGCTCGCGGAGCGCGGACTGCTGAGCCATATTTTGTTGTTGAAATAGCGCTGCGCGGACGCGTGGACGCGCGATTCCCACAGCGATCAAATCCTAATTCGACTTATCGAGCCGGCGACTAGTGCCAGCCGCCAGCCGCCAGCCGCCAGCCGCCAGCCGCCAGCCAGTTTCGCGCGGCGGTACTTGCGACCAATAGAACAAATCGAGCGCAATTATACGCACTGCTCGTCGAGCATTTACAAGAACAATCAACGAAGGCACGGATTGGAGCGGCGAGGCCCGCAGTGCGCTCGCAACGAGTATTAATACGCGCCGCCGCGGGGACACGATGAATTTTAATGTGCGCGCATGCAAATGGCCCGTGCGCAGTACGGGCCGCCGCCAATCGGCTGCCCACTGCAATCTAATCGAACGGCGCGCCGACGAGCTCGCGCTGTCGTCGGCGATTATCGATCGATTCTCCGAACCGCGACGGCGGCGAGGACTGCCGCCCGCGCCGTCGGAGAGCCGTTCCTCCTGGATCGCCATCGGCGCGCGCGGAACAATGGGGCGCACCTCCGGCCTCGCGCTCGCCACCGATGATTGGCCTTACGTCAGCGCTGGACGCCACGAGGGAAAGCCAGCGCGCTCGGCGGCGCGAGGCCCGCATCGGCTCGGGCCGCGCACGTGCGGGGCGACGTCGCCCACATCGCCGGGTCGTGATTTCAGGGCCGACGACGAGAAAGCGAATTCGGCGCGCGCCCGATTATCCTCACGTACGCGCGTACACGTAGCTTTCGCGCGCGGCGTGCGAGCCGGCCATTGTAACGAAATACATAACGAGCTTTGTTGAGTCAGCTCTTAATCAAGAATAATGAGCGCGCGCGCGCGGTCGTCGACGTCAATTTGCTCGCGAGACTTGGTTCGCTATTCGCCTTTCGCCTCGTGACGACGATATTAACGATCATAATCGTCGGGCACACAGTCAACGTACGCGACGCCGCTGGACAAGGTCAAGCCCGAAAAAGGCATCGCTGACGGGCCACGGGCGCGCACGAGTGGGTACTTGCATGTTGATCGCAGCCGGCTGGCCGGCTCTGTGCCGGGCGCCAGGAGCGATTGGATTCGCGAGAGAGTGGCATCTGGTCCCCTCTCGCGACAGCACAATAGGCGCGAGCGGAGCATCTTGGAAGGAGGTTTTCTTCCCCGCGCGCCCGAGGGGATGGCCGCACTCGCTGCCTGAATTGTCCGGGGGGAGGAGCAGCTCGTCCCCACCCCCTTTAGCTTCCGGTTGTAACGCGAGAGCTTTCGATGCCTGGCTCCCCTTAACGACCTCTCCACTCTCTCTTTCTCTCCTGCCTCGTAACGACGCGGCTCCCGACGCGGCTCCCGACGCGGCTCCCGATCGCTTCGTATTATGTATTTTTCGTGGGTGTGCGCTCGCGCTCGAGAGAGAAAGAGAGAGAGTATTGCATGTCTCCTCCTCCCTGCCTGCGACTATCTCTTCCTTCCTCCGCTCCGGCGCGCGCCACACGTGTTCCGCTCCTTTCCTCCTCTCGGGCGCGAGAGCCCGCGAGGGTATAAGATTTCCACTTATCAGTGCCCATTGACGGACGTGTGGGTCGTTATAGGCGCTGCGCCAGTGAATGAGCGAGCGAATGAATCGGCGACCTTGAATCTCGGCAGGCTGCACGCTTCATTCATATCGACACCTTTGTGTGTCACTGCTGCAACTCGCAACAACGCAACGCGCGACTCAAAAAGGCGCACCCCTTTCTCTCGCTTTGTTCCTTCTCTGTGTGCGCAGCGCTCGATGGTCTTTTTTTTCTCCCTTCTCCTTCGTCTACTCCTTCGTCTCATTTGGTTTCTTACGCGAGGGCCCATTCGTATTCCACGCGTGGTGCTTCGCGCGAGCGAGGCCTTTTGTATGGTGTGTGCCGCGGCGACGTGGCGCCGCGAGGGAGGAATACAATTTTATTATTATTATTTTTTTTTTTCGAGGATGTGCCGAGAAATATCGGATCGAGCCTTACATAATTCATGCGCGATCGACGCGCCAAAGGTTACGTGCCGATACATCCTCGAGCATTGAAATTCGCGTGAAATTCGAGCGAAAAAAAAAACAAAAGGAATCGCGAGGAGAAGAGCCACCGCTGGGGGCAATGTTGCCCCGCGCGCCACTGGTTTTACTGGCACGGCGGCAACTCACGCACGCTGTTGGCGAAGGTACGTCAGCAGCAGCGCTGATTTAACCATGCTCAAAGGTACGCGACACGTAGGACCGCCCATTGTTTGCGACGACGAAAATTTGCGTGAGCATAGCCTCTCATGAGAGCGTTCGCGTAAGGAGTAAAAGAAAGAAAGCGAGTGCGAGAGAGAGAGGGGGGAGGAGAGAGAGAGAGAGAGAGACAGCGTTTCCGGCCTCTTCGGTGTCACGTGCGGCAACCCTCCGGCATCCGGTCGTCGTAGCGCTCTCTCTCTCTCTCTCTCGCTCTCCCCTCTCGTTCGATCTTCAGTCGCTTATACACACAGGCCCCTCTCGAAAATAGGCTAGGCCCAGTGAGGCGCGTGGGCGACGTCGACCACCTTATGCTCTTGGATACGTATTTCTTCTTCGTTTTTTTTTCCATCCTATCGTTGGCAGAGCCGAAAAATTGTTGTTTCCGCTGGGCTCTCCAGTTTCCAAGCCGCGCGCATCGTGATTTTTCATCGCAGATGTTTCGTGCGTAGGGGATCCACCGATATTTATTATACGTACGCAGAGTTTACTATCAACGTATTTACTGGGAAAAAAACAGAGAAAAGAGAATCGACCGAGAGAGAGGGAAAGACAGAGAATCAAGGCTACCGGATGCTCGGGCGAGCGGAGAAAAAGCGGAGAATCGTAATTGAAAGATGATAAAAGCCTGTAAACAAGCGTGTCCAGGACAAGATAATGATGTAGGTTGCGCCGTACGTATTCGGTGAATCACACTGCCACTGACAAAAATCAAAACGACGACGACGACGAGGCGACGAGTGCCCGGCGGGGCGGGAGGGGCATTGCAGTGGAAGCTATTGATAGAAGCGTGTATGCGCCACGTAGCCGATAATGCCTCGCACTGGCTCGCCGCGGCGCATATTAAATCGGCCCCCGGCCGCTTATGTGCGATTCATGCAAATTCATGCGGCGCGCGACGACGCAGCCAGCAGCAGAATTGCTCGCCCGCGACGAGCGTCTTGCGCACGCTCGAAGGTGCCTCCACGTTCGACGTCATATCTGCTGCCCGAAAAACGACAACTGAAGAGGAAAGGCAAAGAGAGAGAGAGAGAGAGAGAGAGAGAATGAGTGAGGGAGAGGGGCGAGGGGGAGCAAAAAATGGTGGAGGTATGAAAAACCGTTGCGAAGCCCTGCGGAGTATGCAGCCCATAGAGCGAGAGATCGTCCGCCGCTAATGAAAAGCTCGTTGCTTTATCCTCGAGACGAGAGCGAGCGAGCGAGCGAGCGAGCGAGCGGTGGCGGCGGCAACGGCGGCGACGGCAGCCAGCGGCGGCGGCAGCAGCAGCAGCAGCAGGTGGTTATAGTTAAAGGATCGGTACGGGGGCGTACCCCTCCCAGGACGCTCGTCTTCCGGCACGTTATCCCCACCGCGCGCGCGCCCAGTCGTATTCTACGAGAGCGCGAGCGAGAGATAGAGGCGCGCCGAAGGGAGGGGGGAAAGGAAGTAGCCGCGCGGTGGTGGCAGGCCGAGCGAGCGAACGGAAACGCGCCGAGGCACCGTCACAGTGACACGCGCGTGCAGCTCGCGTCAAGTGGTTTTGGTGTTGCTGCTGCTCGCGGCTCAGTCCCGCGCTCTCCCGCTCTCGCTCCATCTCCGCAGGCTCAAGCAGCGGCTCTGCCTCGCTCCTTTTATGTAATGTGCGCGACCAAGTGATCTCGCCGCGAGCGAACCCAGTGGTTCCGGCCGAAACGAGTGCCCCGGTAGAACTCCGCCTCGCAGTTCGGCCTTGTTGTTGTTCCTCGCTCTCTCTCTCTCTCTCTCTCTCTCTCTCTCTCTCTCTCTCTCTCTCTATGGTGCGCCGAAAGTGATCGCAGTGCGACGAGGCAGTGCTTCGAACGATGACAAGTAGATAAAGTGCGCGCGAGTAGATGCGCCGGACAGAGGCAATCAGTCGCAAGCGCACGAGCGGC